AAGAGAGACACAGAGGGTGATTTTTATATACCAAACACCCAACACACACACACACACACACACACACACACACACACACGCACACACACACCAGGAAAAGGTACCACAAGCACATAAAGAATCTGGAGTGAAGAAGCTGTAGAAAAAGAAACACCACAGCTTCTGAAACTTAAAACGCCAAAGATGTATTCTTCCTTAGAGACTTCAGAGGACCTTTCGCCCTGCTGACACCATGATTTCAACATGATTTCAACACTGATTTCAAACTTCTGAACTCTAAAATTGTAATATAAAAAGTGTATATTGTCTGCCACCCCGCTTGTGGCTTGTTACAGCAGCCAATAAATAAATATTCACTACAAATTTTAAAAATTAATAAAAACCATGATAAAGTCTAATGCTCAAAATGGCATTAGACTCAAGGGGAAAAAGTGACATTCCTTTATTTTTCTCTTCAGGAAAAACTAAAAGGAAACATGATTTATGTTAGCAATAGATTGAAGGTTTTACTGGAAAAGTGCCATGTTTGAACCTCACTATAGGTAAATGAAAAACTTCCATTAATAGCACAATGTATAAAGATTAATGGCTTAGTTTATATTATCTTTACTCTTTGAGTAAGGCATTCGGTAGATTATTAAGATTATTGAAGGTGATCATTACATATATGACTTGTTTGCTTGTGAATCTTTCTGTCATTCTAATTTGTAAGTTTCCCTATGGAATACAATTTTACAATGAATTTCTCAACATGCGAGGCACCATTCTTTGCTACCAATTTTCTCTTGAGAAAATGGAACGGTTAAAGCACTTACAATATTGTAAGTGTTAATATTACAAAAGGAATGTTTTGGATGGTGTTGGTAGTTACTAATATTTAGCTGGAAAAATAAAGAATGTAATCATTGATAATACACTTGTATATAATTGATACATACAAGATTTGCTTTAAACTTTTTAAAATAGGAATGTTTCAATATGGATAACTCTGAGTTAATATTATACTGGTCCATTTTTTTTCCAAAATGATAAATTGACAACGTATAAATTCATTTAGTCATTATGCATGTGTGGGTATATGTATGTTGGTGCATGTGCACAAATACAGTTGCTTTCTTTACTCTACATGCATTTTGGTTATGGGTCAACAAAGGAGGAGAAAAGATATGTCCACAAAGCAAAACTATAAGTCATTCATTTGATCTAAGTGTATTTGATGGAAAATAAGTATAGGATAACTATTCTTTTGATGTCAAATTCAAGTATAGGATTCAGTAAGTAACTTCTTAATAGTGATATAACAATTGTATTTCAGAATGAGTTTGTATTCTTACCTAAACACAAGGAAAAAAGAAATTGACCAAATACAGAATTTAAATTGCACTCTGGCACAAGAAGAGAGAATTCTGAATTCATAATACCCTTTCATTGACTATACAATCAACACAATCCTATAAAAAGTATGAATGTTATTGAAAACTGTTGCTAGGATAAATTTTTTCAAACTGGTATTTATTATCAAAAATGATTTATGACAAGTGTTCAGTCAAAACAAATGTAGTGACCTCTGCAGGAGGTATTGCCCTGTGTGACTCTACAAAGAGTCTTCTTTCTTTCTCTAACTTCAAGTTCTGGTTGCTATGGCATCTGGTGACAACCATAACTTCTGGAAATTACCACCATCTGCCCACACCCTCTTCTAAAGTTACATACCGGCCTACTGAAGCAACCGAAATAGCAAACAAAACTCCATAAGGAATCTTACTGGTCTCTTTTGTTTTGTATTTTTAAAAAGTGCCTAAATAGTCAAACTGAAAAATGAGTATAACATAAAGAAAAGAGATGTTTCCAAGCAAGATAATTCCAACATTGAGCTGTAGAAAGTAAAAAACAGAACAGCCAAAAACAAATCAATGGCTATTTATGAATTAATCATAATTAATTAGCATTCCCATCATAGAACAAAATTAGGAAACGCTGAAGGTAAAATTGCATGTTTTTATTGTTTTTAAATGTTATGACTACTAGGAATATAAACATACAATTCAATATCCATGGATAAACTACAGTGTAAATTTTAGGATTTAAAATTTAGCAGAGCTGTTATTTCCATCTTTTTTTCTATTTTGAGGTTAACAAGTTTTTCTATTTTTACTAGTTTAAAAGCATGAATTTGTGTCCTTTATGGATATTCTTGTAAGTGCAAGCTCTTAGAAAAAAAATTTTTAATTTCAAACTCATGGGTTGCAAACTTAATGGATATAGCAAAATAGTTTGCTTATTATCAAGAATATAAATGTATATCTTTTCATAAGGTTTTTAAAAACCACTTTATTTTACTCATCTTGAGAAGAAAAAAAGACATCATGATTTTTTTAAAGAAAGTAGCAAATACAAAATAAAAAAAAAATAAAATAAAAAAAAGAGAAAACCCAGGATACGAAGTCTATGTATTTAGACTTCTAGGAGAACAGTAACACAGTTCATGATCTCTATAAGAATTTTGTTACGACTACTTGATTTGTAATTATTAAGATAGTGAATAAGATATCTCCCATGTAGCAAGTCATGACCACGTATTTTCTAAAATCTAAACTTCTCTATCTAGAAAATTTTTATGCAAAAGGGAAATTAGGGCCAGGGATATAGCTCAGTGGCACAGTTGCCAGCCAGGCAAGCGCAAGGTTATCAGTTAGAGTCCCATAACCAAAAAACAAAAGAGAAAATTACACTGAATACATTAAAATTACATCATTCAGATGCAACAGTATAATCTGGCAATCTCAAATGTTTGGGCCATTGTCGAAAAGATGGAAGTCCATGAACTGAATGAAGCAGTAGTGAGCAGTAGGGAGCTAACAGGCACCATTAAACCATTCACCGACTTGCCCAAGATCCCTTCTATCCAGCCAGTTTCCTTATTCTTCTCTTGAACATAACTTCTTAAGGTCTTTCTCAATATAATGCTTAACAAGCTCCTACTTTCTGGATTCAATACATTAGAAAGAACAATGACACAAAAGTATGTCTGAGAAGATAGCATGGCAGTTGTAACAAATAAAATGATCCTATTTTAAAATAACTAACCAATGCCAAGTCAAGTTGAAGCTATCTCTACTGTCTACTGACCCAGGAAAATGGATACTATTTTTCAGAAATAAGATTTTTTAAAGTAACATAATATTTTGATTGGGGTTTTAGCATATGAATTCACTTTATTTAGAGACTTTACTCCACCATTAATTGATGATGCTAGTTTTGTGAGGAGCTTCTAAATTTCAGTGTTGATGGCAGCACCTTATTTCCTTAAAGCTATTTCTTATACTCTTACCCTTAAAAAATTGAATATTGGAAGACAATTTGGAACCAGCTCCTTCCTATTTTAATATGAACACAATCTAGAATATATTCTTCTCTTAAGATAACTGTGATTAAGTAACATTTGATAGTTAAACCAAGCTAATCAAATTTAAAATGGTTATTAACATGGACATGTAAACATTCAAAACATAGTTCACTTGAATTTAACTATGTCAAAGATTCAGGTCTTTCTCCTTTCACACTTGAGTCTTTCAATAATTAAAATATATGAAAACTAAGATTTTAATATTATACAAAAAAAATTTTATGTAGTATCCAAAATCCAAAATTTCAAAGGTAAATTTTATCATTTAATTAATCATGTAGAGTCACTGCTTAACAAAATGATATAAATTTCTTTCAAAAATTTCCAATTTTGAATTAGAATTTCAGTGGATAGCTTAACAAATGAATATAACTGCTTTGAAATTGAGTCATTTTCAGTTATTAACTTCATTAAGCTTTATTGCAAATTTTCATCCACAAAATTAGAATAAAAGTTCACACTTGGAAAATTTCAGTTATTCACTATTAAGACTTTGTGGTGTGCTGATCAAAAAAGTATCAAATATATAATGTGAACAAAGATCTTAAAACTCAGCTCAATTAATATTTGATATATATTCACAGAGGTAAATGAAATCTTCAGATATTGATACAATAATAAAGATGTATTAGAAATAGTAATTGAAGGAACTTTCATCCACATTTGGAATATGAAATCAAATGATCCATGACTACAACAGAACATAGAAAAAAACAAGGTTACAAGGAAAATGAAAATAATGATATAGGAAGCCAACGATAAGCAATATTTTCTCTTTTCATCTTATCAACTTTCTATTGTATCAGTCGTATTTGTATTATGACATTTCTAGTTTATATGTATATTGCCTTAATAACGTTCCAAGAAAGTAAGAATTAATATAAACATTATGTTACATAATAATATCATTATTTGAATTTACTCTTGAATCTGTTTCATTTCCTGATAGAGACAGGAAATGGGCAAATATGTATAAGTAAACAAAAGAATTAATGAACACATGCAGGTTGTACAAATCAAATGAGTGGGGTTTTTTTTTCGGCAGTACACATAGAGTTGTTTGTAGTGTGGAGGTTATGTGATTATATGAACTTCCTTCAACTGGTTATAATAGAAATTTGTTTGAGAAAAACAGAGATTTCCGTTTCACATAGTTACTGCCTTCTGTTTGGATGTATACCTCTCATTTCTGAATTCTTACTGGATGAGAATTAAGGTAAGCATCCGGAGGCCTAAGTCTAAATAAGCAGCATCGAGAGCAATCAGATGACTGACCTTGAGAAAGTCACTGATCATTACTGAGCATCTACTCTTTAAAAAGAAAAGCGCTAATAATTTACTTTTTCATATTGTAGGAGAATTAATTAAAAAGACTTCTAGCACTATGTTCAATTAAGAATCTTTCACTTTATTTTATATAAGGCAATGATGATAATCAAAATATACTTCGAAATAGGCTGTCACAGTAACGTTGTCAATATATGCAAAACGTAACTGGTGCATGGAAACAGGAATGGAACAACAGATATGCATAAAATCTATGATACTGGCTGATTTTTTAATATTTTTGGGCACAAATAAGTAGCCCTCTTACCTGTTGGTGGAATTATTCCAGGAGACATGAGACCAGGGACAGAATGTGGCATGATATGAGAGTTCTCTGGGGAGGTGACACTTTGAGTCCTCTTAGGAGGCCTTCCAGGTCTAGAACTGAAACAAACAAACAAAAAATTTTACAATTAAGCTGTTGTCTTACACATCATTTCAAAGTTGTTTCAAGTGGTAACATGGACTGTAAATAAATTTGTTTCAAGGACGGTTGCTTTTGCAGTTAGATGTAATAGACTTCCATCACTAATTAGATTACATGCTGAATTCATTTTCCTCATTGAAGATCAGCCACTCCTGATGCATAATTCATAGCCTGCACCTCGTTACCTGCTTCTTCATATTAATATCTATACACAGTTTGAATTGCCTCGTTTGCATATGCTAAAGTTCTGCATGCAGCCTTCAGCACGAAAATTATGCACTAACTTGTAATAATTATTACAGTCAGCCAGCTATTGATTTATGAGACTTTTAAAAACCAAATATGTGTAGTACTTGTAATGAATGATATTTTAAGGTTCTTCAGGAAATTAAAAGGCAATGGCTGCCTAAGGAAATGTTCTGCTTGTTTGATTTAATACTACAGTTAGCTGGGAGGTGGAATGAAAGAGTGATTCAGACCTATAGCACATTTTTCGATGATATGTTTTATTACTTCGCACTGCTAGCCTGATATCTAGATGATAAATGACAATACATATCTAATGTGTGAAAAGGTCTTCCAATTTCTTTATTTTTTGTCATTTGAAAGATAAGTCAAGTTATCATTTAACCCTTATTCTATTTAAGCAAATAACTCCACTAAGTTGCCTTACTTCTAATATATAAAATAAATTGGAAAGGCTTGGGACTATTTCTAGGACATTTTGAGAATCCACCAATCTAGCATCTTATATCTACTTTTGGAATAAATTATAGTGCTGTAAATAATAGTGTTTGACACTACTTATCTTTTAGGTGGTATTTATACAAGATTTTTTTAAAATTATAAAAGTAGGTGAAGAGGGGACAAGTATTCACTATTTTTGTTTAAAAACAATGACAAGCATATATAAGTAATTTCTGAAACACTCTTACCACTGTTTTTTCATGTTGAGCCTCTATGTTATAAATATGCCTTTGTGAAATGCCCTCTCATTTATTTAGTCAGTGTGCACACAGGTATATCAATACCGTCAGATACATCTTCCATAAGGATGAAGGATTTCCATGTTTGCTTCAGTTTTGCCTTATCAGAAGATCCCAAGAGTTTATCCCTTCTAAGTTGTGTAAGTAATGTATGTGGTCACTGAACAAATAACTACTAAGCACCTGCTGTTTTTGAAGCAGTACACTATGGATGCTAATTTGGGCAAATGAGTTCTTAACTCTTCTGGAGTTGACACCCCTTTCCAAGGGGAAAGAATTTGGCACATAAATAACTATGATACAAATTGTGGTGGGTAAGCCTCGTAAGAAAACTGCCGTCTGTATACTAATTGGAACTTGGGCAGGATGACGGTTTTTCTGTATCTGGGTGAGAAAGATGGCAGTGGAAGCATTAGAAGAAAGTTCAGAGAATGAAATAAATATGGAAAAGAATAGTAGGAAAGTATCTTGCGGTGAGGAAACAAAAAATAAAATGAAAGTTTGAAAATGTAGGAGAGCATATAGAATATTTCGGATAAATTAAAACAAGTCAATTAGCAAGGATAGAGATTGAGAGAGACAGATTTATTGTGGGGGTCAGATTCTCCAGGCTTTAGGGAGAGCAAAAAGATTGTTTGCAAATTTTTGTCAGTTTTGTTAACCTATGGGGATATTTTCTTACTTCTACTAAAAAACCTGTCTAGCTACTTAGTCTTCATTATTATTTTGCTTTTGTTGACAGTTTAATTCTTACTATTTTCCTAGGGTCAATCAACAGTCCTCTGATAATCTCTATTCTTTTCAAGTGATCTCTTTTACTGCCATTACTGAGATGCTAAGACTAGTGGTTCACTAGACATCTATGGTTCAGATCGTCTTCTTGGGATCCAGACAGAATGACATCTGTCTACTAGAACTGCTGCTTAGGCTTTCTATAATAATCTAAGATTCAGCTTGTCCAAATCTAAAATCAGCATCTGCTCCATTAGAACCTGTTACAGCAAAATGGTACCTATTTAACTGAGCCAAAATTTCAGGATACAGAAAGATCTTTTCCTTCTCACACTCACATATCATCGCTATGAAGGTTTTTTAAATCTAATCTCCTTTTTAGGTCCCTTTTATATAGATCAGTCACGCATTTCTTATTTGATGTACTATTATAGATTCCTAATGTCTTCCAACATCTCTATCCAAATCAATCCCACTCTACAGCTTGGAGTCCAGAATGTAGACAACTGTACACTGATTCCAGAAGGATTTTTCTAAAATGCAACTTTGACTATTATTTACATTTGATTAATCAAGTTTTTTTCTTCATATTCTTTGGCATACACCAGGCTCTCTAAGGGGGCCCAAGCCTACATCCCCAATTACAAGTTTTTTATTCATAAATTTGTGACTTATATTTCGTCCTTTGTAATTTCTTAATTACAATTTCCTGAGTTGCTTTGGTCTCCTCTTACACCATTTACACATGTTGTCTACTTTCTCAACATTTCTACACCAAATTTTCCTCATCTTTATTTTACCTAACTAAATGTCAACCATTCTTCTTATTGACCATTTCGAGTTCTGGTGGTCTTGACAGGAACCACAATAAATACACAATGCGCAACTTTACTGTGACTCTGGAGGGACTGCAGTAATTTGCTTATCTATTCTGCTTTAAGATTACAAGGCAGAAAATACATAAAATATGCAGGTGTCTTTTTAAATTTAGTGCCTTTCTCACTATATTTATTTAAATAAATATGAAATTATTTGTGAAGCCATTTCATCCAAAGTCCTCAGGCATCTTATTTTATCATTTCTAGTGGTCCACAAAACTACCAGGATATTTAAAAAAAAAAAAAAAAAGAAAGAAAGAAAAAAGAAAAAGAAAGGAAAAGAAAAAAAAAAAAGCAGGACATGAGGTTGGAAGGTTTGAGTCTAAGTGTAATGTTAAATGCACATTTCAACCCCACCAGAAAAATAAATAAATAAATAAATAAATAAGGTTTGAGACAATCTCTAGTGAGATAACTTAGAGGAAGCGGAAAATGAAAAGCTAAGTTAAAAGACTTGAATTTTTAGCTCTTTAACTTGTTTTGCTTTGAAAGAAAATGAAGCTGTTCAGGAGTACATCATTATGCAAGCCACAGGAACTGTCCTAACAGGTTTTACTCTGGAAGAAGTCAGGATACTAAGTAGCAACACTTTAGCTCACACTGTGATTAGAACAGACCCAGTGGGCTCCTTTCATCACAGGTATCTCTTACCCAATCCATCACTTTGCCTCAAATTCCACCAATAGAGATTTATTGCTTTCAGAGTCAAAGCTTGAAGTTCTTTCAAAACCTTCTATTAAAATGCAAATACCCTTGGTGGTGGTAACAACATAAAGTCATCAACTAACATCCTACAGGGGATTACTTTACATTTGGGTGGGAGTGCAGTTTTAAGAAACCCAGCAAAGAAGGAAGGAACTAAGGAAAAGATTAGAAAGACTCGTCAAATCGCTTACCTTCTTACTAACAACACTACTGGGATTTTTCTCTAAAGTAATATACAACTTCTTAGTGCAGAGAAACCAGGTAAGACTTTTCCATTCCTTCATTAGGTTCTCCTACTGACAGGTAGGGCATTTTACCCTAACTGAAACCTTAGTCACTATTTAGAGGGTCTCTAATATTCGTATGACTAACAAGGATAATTTAACTGTAAAATATTTGATTATTGAAATTTCAGTCAAAGCTTTAGAGAACATCCAAAAAAAAAAAAGCATACTCTACTTGATGTTGTGTCCAAAAGCACCTATTTTATTGCCTAGGCAGACCAAGCTGTAATACTTGCTTTACTAATTTATTAGAAGGTATAACCATAATCAAGTTCCTTACATTTTCTGAACATCATAAGATTTTAAAATGTTTGATACATTGTGCTAGAAATCAGTTATTCTTGGAAAACAAAACAAAAATTTAAACAGGAAGTGAAATGTTCAGCAAAACCATTTCTGTTACAAAGTCCAGTAGCTGGGACTGGGGATTTAGCTCAGCGGCATAAGCGCCTTCCTTGCAAGTGTGCGGTGATGAGTTTGACCCCTGGTACCGATAAAAACAAAAAAGACAAAAAAAAAAAAAAAAAAAAAAAAAGTCCAGTGGCCGCATGGTGGCCACACTCAACCCGGTTTTAACTACACCAGTGACTACCTTTATCCCAGAAGACCAGAGAAAGTGAAAATCTCCTAATCAAAAAGAACTCAATTAATCATAATGAAAATACAGCTTAAGACATTCAAACTTTTTTCAGCTTCACACATGAGCTACCATACAGACTTCGATATTTTTAAATAATCTTCAGAGGTTTAGAGATGTCCAAAGTCAATAAAAAGGTTTCCTTTTTAGACTGAGCATCTTAGGCAGTCCTCTTTCTTTAGTTTATATCATTCAATCTTATACTAATTTCTGCGTTGCTCTCCTATGACTGATAAGATGGACCAACACTGTCTAATTTATTTATTATGTCTATTTATACTGAAGCCAAAACCCAACGTTTAAAGACGCATGATAAAAATTAGTAAGAAGATAAATGTATTAAAGGAGTAAGATGCAACTGAAGTGTCAGAGGGATTTTTTAACATTTGAACTTCTCAAAAAACACCGTTTCCTAATCTGTTCAATAATTTTTGAGAAATTATGTTCAGTTCTCCTTCCAAGTTCAGGCAGAAAAACAAGCACAATCTAGGAAAGAAAAACAAAAAGCAAACAAACAAAGAAATAAGCTGTGATGGCTACAAAATGGAAAATGTGAAGGAAGCTGCTCATAAGAAAGTTTGAGGCCAAATCCCTGGCTGAAGAAAAACATAAACAGATAAAGGCTTCATTCAGCTCTTTCCATTCATTCATTTATCTGAGAGAAGAGAGATACTCGGTGTAACCCCTGGATTAGACATTAGGGATGGAAGAATCTGTAGTCATGAACCTTTCTTG